GTGCAGGGTGTAGGGTTTAGGGTGCAGGGTGTAGGATTGAGGCTTTAGCTACCGTAGCCAGTCAAGCATCAGTCAAAGCCTTCTGGATCATGAAAAATTACGGTCTCGGACTTCTGCTTTTTTTGTGTCGCGCTGGGGCCCCTGTGCTGAACAGTTGCCAGGAGCAGCCCTTTGCCCCTATTTTTTTGGGTTTAATGGAGGGGCCTAAATAATTACCAATACTATTTTGGAGGGTTCCTTATTATAATTATAGTATCAATACCCCACAACCCTATTCTAATTGTTACGGCCCCAACACTAGGGCGTTGTTTTTTTTTTGGGTTTGGGTCGGGGGCTTCTGGTCCTCCCGTCATAACCTCTTTGTGCCTTTCTTTCGAAGTCTCCTTTGGATGACCTAGGATATCCATGATTGCGCACTTTGCGCAGCCACCCAACTTCACCGTCTTGGAGTCCCGCATCATGCAGATGACTTTTGTCGTGAAAGTGCTGACGCTGGGGGTTGTGGTCACGCTCGTAAATGCGGACTTTCAGTTCTACATTGGCAGCTTAAAAGGCTTTTTGGGTCTACTGGGGGCTGGGCAGTTCAAAGACATCGACAAGGCATGGAATGCCGCAGTGGGTGTCGAGATCCTGACACTTATCGTTTTCAGCATCATGAACGAGATCATTGCCATTGCCTTCGTCCTGCTTTTCAAGATAAAGTGCTATTGCCTGGCTGGGCGGAAGGTTGACTGGCGATCCATGAAGGAGTTGTTTACGCCACCCCAGTTTGAGCTTGCCGCCCACTTGAAGTCACCAGGTTTCTGTTGCTTTGAATGTCGTGTAGTATGCTGAGAATATACAGGTTTATGTTGCTTTCTTTGACGAGGGTTTTGGGTTCTTGTATAGGGTTTCACAAGGGGTCCCTAAATTCCACAAAGGCCAACTACCACGCCGACCAGTTGAGCCTTGTCTTCGCCTGCCTGCTGTTCTCCAGTTGTCTACCGGCCGTGTTGATCGTCCTCGCTGTGCGCTTGTTCTCCATGTGCCTCAGATGCCTCCTATGTTCTATAGTTTTGGTAGCATGATAGAGTATTTTGAATTAAATTATTAATGTATATCATACTACATAACAGTGCATTATCATATGCTGTTGCCTATTATACTACATTATAGTATACCGTCGTAGATTCTGGTATATTATACCTAGCTCCCCAAAGCCTACACGCTTCAACCCTAAACCCCCCAAACCCAGGGTCGGGTTTAGGACCCAGGGTTTAGGACTCAGGATGGAGGATTGTGAGGATTTTAGGGTTCAAGGTTTAGCGTTCAGGGTTTTGGGTTCAAGGTTTAGGGTTCAGGGTTTTGGGTTCAAGGTTTAGGGTTCAGGGTTTTGGGTTCAAGGTTTATGAGGGACATGGCCTTTGGCTCTCAAATCCCTGCTTTTTAAGACATCAGAACGGGCTTTGAGCCCTGAAATCCCTAAACCCTAAAACCCTAAACCCTGAACCCTGAAACCCTGAATCCTAAACCCTAAAACCCTAAACCCTAAACCCTGAAGTCCACTTGAAGATCACCTTTCCTCCCGCACGGGTTGGGCAGGAAAGGGGCTTTGAACTTCCTTTGAAACCCTAAAACCCGAAACCCTAAGCCCCAAACCCTAAACCCTAAACCTTGAACCCTAAACCCTAATCCCTAAACCCGAACATAGAGTGCTGTAGGATTTTATGATGTCTTAGAGGCCTTTTTTTGGTGGTGGGGGGGGGGGGG